GGGGGGGCTCGGCCCAGGGAGAGAAGGGACAAGCCCCGCGGCTGCCTGGCTGGGGAAGCCGGCTCCTTGCTGTAGGGCTCTGGCCAGGGACTCCACTCGTCCTGGCACCGCCCGAGTTCGTTAGTGGGATGACACTAGTGGCTCCTTCGGCGCGTGACTGTGCCGAGTCGGCGAGTGCCCACCGTAAGGGACAACCCAGCTGGAACCCAGCGGGGACAGGCAGAGGCTGGTGTGCATCTCCCAGCAGCTCCCACTCCTCAGAAGGGCATGTTGTGGTCCCCAGCCCCACTGTACAGGTGGGGACACCGAGGCCCAGCGGCCACGCCGTCCCAGCAGGGCCCACCCTCCACGGACACCCGGGGCTCCTCCTCCCCGACGCCCACCCCTGCTTGTCCGGGGCAGGGCAGCTTCGATAGTATGACCCTGTGACCCCGGTCTATGAGCGAGGGCACCGAGGGTCAGAGAAGCAAGGTGACAGCGACTTGGCGGGGCAGCTAAGCCTGGGACCGAGGCCCTGCCCCAGGAGGCAGGGGGAGAGAGGAGAAGGGGGGTGAGCAGGGCAGGAGCCACACAGGCTGCGGGGGCCGGCACGGCTCAACGAGCAGGATGGACCGTCCTGGGGCGAGGAGGGGTGGGAGACGGGCCAAGCCGCGCCGTGGGTGGCGGAGTCCCCGACTGGGGAGGACGGGATCACCTTGTGCAGGCCGCGGCAGTGCAGCAGAGCCACCAGCTGGTGGAAGTTGCCTTCGGTCACGTTCAGCGTGCCCCTGTCCGCAGGCCCCGCCCACGTCCGCAGGCCCCGCCCACAACCCGCCGCCCCTGTCCGCAAGCCCCGCCCCCGGCCGCCCAGCGTGCGCGTTGGGTCGCCCACCCCGCTGACCTGCGCCGAGGGGAACTGCGGGACCGCTTCGCGCTCCAGGCCCTGCAGCTGGGAGTGGATGTTGGCCAGGGCTCGCTGGCACTGGGTTAGCCTCTGCGGGAGACAGGGAGAGAGGAGGCCCGGAGCCGACGCCCGCGCCCCCCGCCTCTGGGCCGGCCCCAGCCTCCCCGGGAACCGCACTCAGGCCCTGCCCGCCCTGGTCCCTGAGGTGTCCATTGCCCTCGGCCCTAACCTGCTGAAAGGGGTTGGAGACCGCCTGGTTGCAGAGGAAGTAGTAGCTCAGGATGTCTGAAGCGGGAGGGGGCGGGAAGGCGTGAGCCTGAGGTCCCGGCATCCAGAGCCCTCCTTCAGCCACTGTCCTTCCACTCCAGCTGCCGCCCAAGTCACAGGGTCCCGATGTCTGTGACCTCCCCACCGCCACTGAACTGTGCTTCCCCGTTTTCTCCAGGTAGCCAGAGCCCTCACCCCGGAGGACCGCGCACAAGCCCCTGCTGGGCCCTGGCCCTCCACCCCTCCCCAGTGTCTGCGTTTTTCCAGTCGCCAGGACAGGGGCCCAGAGCTTCTGGAGGACGCTGGGCACTCCCACCTCACCCCAGGCAGGAAGGGCGCAGAGGAGACCTGAGCCCAGCTGGAACACCCAGACCAGCCCACTGGTCACCTGAGCCAAGCCCGGTCTCCTCCTGGGTCAGGTTCAAGACGTAGGTGTCTGGACTGGAGCAGAAGTCACTGAGGCCCTGGCGGAGGCAGCAGGAGGTGTCTGGGCCAAAGCCCTCCCCTGCCCCCTGCCCCCTCCTCCAGCAGAACCAGCCCAGGTCCCCAGCCCCCACCCCCAGACCCACAGAGCGCCCTTTGCTAGAACCCAGAAAGCACGCGAGCATCAGGACCTGCGGCGAGGGGCCAGGTCCTTCCTCGGTACCAAAGGTACTGGCGCACACACCCCAGGACCCGGAGTGGGACCCAGCTCACCACGGCAGTCGCTGCCTCCAGGCCCATGGAGCCCCAGCTCAGCACAAGAACCAAGAGACTCATGACGGTCATCCTGCAGTGGGGAGGGGCGCACAGGCTCTGCCTGGCCTCCCCCTCCCCACAGCCCTCCCAGCCCTCCCAGCCCTCAGCACCGCCACCCGCCACCCCA